TGCTCACATGTCAATGCTAACAAAGCATGCATGGGTACAAGCTTAGCGATGACGAAGTTTAACTTCCGGTACCACGAAGTTTAACTTCCGGCCTTTCGGTACCAGCCCTAGGGTTGGCGTGTCTACCGGTACTGGCTCAAGATGGTAGAAATGGTACTAAATGGTCTACCGGTACTGGTGCTGGTAGAAATGACAATTATGGGCCTATAGCCAGCCACCCCGCAGTGGTCGGCTATAGAGAGCAGCAAGACTGACTCTCCGCATCGTCACGGTGTTCCACGGCGGTGAAATACTGGAACACAAATTGAGTGGCGTACTCGAGGGGGGGGGGGCATCGGAGATATGTGCCCCACTTATAAATTTTAAGTGTATCGATATGTATGGACAAAAACTGAGATAAACATGTGAACACATTTAGATTAAGATGTAAAATGTGGTGTGTCATGAACATATTCGGTACGTCTCTCCATATCATTGACCCATGACCCTGTTTTCCCCTGTTTCTAGAACAACTTGACAGAAAATCTCGACAGGTATATTTCAGAGTAAGCCTGTTGTTTGCGCTCGCCGGCGGCTATTAATCTATCTTTGTGTGCCACAGGCCGAGAACTATCCTGCCGACCCGAAACGACGGCCAATAAAACTGCCTCGATGACGTCATAGCGCGATAACGCCGCCATTTATTGCCGGGGTTTCACAGGGCGCGATAAACTAGCATCGGCTTTGGCATCACAGGACTTAACATGCGAATACGTGGACCAGCGCCGTAGTAGGTTTCTGCGAAAGCAGCAACTTGTCAGGGAGAAGTTCGTTGGTCGGTTTGGGGAAGTTTCTCAGCGATGAAATTCTCGATGACGTCATTAGAGCGATAGCGCTGCCATTTATTGCTCGGTTTTTACAGAGTCCGTTGAACTAGCGTCACCTTGGGCATCACAGGACTTCACATGTGAATACGTGGGCCAGCGCCGTAGTAGGTTGCTGCGAAATCAGTGACTTCCATGTTTTTTCGACCATGCCACATTCGGCTTCACATATAGGCGGCTAAAATACTGATAATTGTCCTCCAATACGTATTTGCTATTTATGCATTTACCGTTATCGATAAATGCAGAGGTCGGAAAGGAAAAAGCTGCATGTGTCAAGACCCTACCCTTCCCCGCCCCCACACCTGCATTTGAGCTGTCCCTTCTTTCACATAAACCTCGTCGTTAACGCTATCATTCCATGTTTCAGTTCACCCTGTTTCTGGCCGAAGACGGAAGCGGAAAGGGAGCGGGACTTGTGGCTGCCGTCGCCCGGCGCCTGCGCAGTAGAAACTAGCGCGAGCCCACCAGGTCACTGCGCACGCGCATTTGACATGAAACGGAACTAACTAAAGCAGTGTACTTATGAAGTCATTGCACAGATTCGTGTGCTCGCAAACGTCGTCATGCGCAGGGAACCGACGACGACAGTGCAAATTCTGATACAAATGCACAATGGATCTGCCTCGCCTACCGCGAGAGCAAACACACGTGCCATGTGTTCACGTGCGGCATTTCTAACCGAAGAAGGAACAGGGAATTGCTGCGGTCTCTGCCAATCTCAGCAGGCTTGCAGGGACTAAGATACCATTCAAAACAATTTAGTAAGGAACGACTTTCAGTACATGTGGAGTTTTCAGCTTTCGTTCGTTGCAACATCAAAACTAGTATGACAATATTATAACCCTCTTAATATCCTTACACTTTGAGCATATTTCGACATTTTGCAACGCAATGACTCACGATCATGTCTCGTGTGCAGCCAATGCCGCCTCCTTGCGCGTTTACGCGATCGCTGCCACCAACAGCACGGGGAAATGGCCGACACGTTGCGGCGTTTTTCCTCATAAAAGCGACCTCAAATCGTGGCAGAAACAGCTAAAGCAAGTATTTTCAGTTGACTGCGAGCCGCCAGTACTGAGAAACAGCTTTGGATGCAGCGACATTTGGTGCCGATGACACCACATGGTGCTGATGTGATGCCTGTCGATTGGCTGCTCAATGTGTGTACTTCAACCGCCCCGATATGAGGTCATCGCCGTTGCGTCGTTTCTAAGAGTTCTGCCATAGTTTAGCGTCCGCATTTGAAGGCTACGCGTGCTGTGGTTATGGGCGGCTGGTGGGAATGGGGTTATGGGCGGCTGGTCGGAATGGGGTAATGTGCGGCTGGTGGCAGCGGTACTATGTGGGGTTTACGCGTCGGTGTCCATAGGATTACGGACGTTCATGTTCTTGCTTTTGTAGTTGCAGGGTTTGAGTGACTGTGATGACGTTCAGCTGACTGTTGTAGCCTCGTTTAGTAGCGAATAGGGAGGGGGGAGGGGAGGGGCGTAGCCCCTTGGCACCTGAGCGCCAACATGACTACCGCAGTTGCTGACGCTCCACAAAAGCGTGCGTGGCGACCTTCGCTGCGTTCAGGGCGGTTTAGTTTGGTTCACCAGGCCGTATTGAGGGATGTGCGCAAGCTTGTATTGAATGCTGAAATTAGGGACACCCGCCCACATGGTGCTGGGCTGAATGACAAGGAAATGTCGCTAGCGTTTCACTGAAAGTCTGTTGTGTTTTCGTAATGCAGAATCTTTGTCGTTTGCGTATGGTAGTTTTGCTGATAGTTGTGGTGAACAAGGGCTGACACGATTACTGTGACCATTCAATTTGCAAGGACTGTGCAGGAAGTGCAATATTTCACATCAGCGTCCTTACTTTTGGTAGCGTGTTCCGATCCATTGCAGTAAAAGTTTTAAGGTTTTGTATACACGCGTTGTTTTGAAACGTGTATCACCGGTGCGGCGCAAAGCACATATTTTCTTGGTGAGCATTTTCTATCTACAGAAAACTCTTTGTCGAGAGGCAAATAATGTGCCAGCAAAAACTCTTCTACTGTTCAGAAATGCTGCTATTGCTTTTCTGTTGGAACATGTTTGCATTATCGTATAGTTAAGGTATGCCATGCAGTCGAAAAAGCAGTCACTACCTCCCCGATGTGGACAATGCGTCATCCATTGTCGTTGTTTGCTAACAAGCTGTAGTATATGACAAATGCAAACTAAACTAACATGCCTGACAGTACAGCAGTTAGTTTTGTAAAGCAGAACTACACGTGCCGGTGTTTGTACCACAAGGCCTTACAGGCATGCGGTCTGCGAATGTAATTTTACTTTTTCTTTGGATTTTTCATTGACGGAAGCCACCAATCGATAAGATTACAACTCTTCCATGTAACACGTCTACGTAGCATCCACAACACAGTGTAACTGCGAACTTTAGGTTGAAAAAACAGGCACCAAAGTGGACTGTACAATGAGACTGTAATTGTCTGGACCTCGGTTATGAGTAACTCACCTGTGTTAGGGCGATTCTTGTACCCTGTTGATACCGGCACGCATCGGTGCTGCTCCCACACCTCATACTTCTGACTTATAGTGCAAGGTTACGGGTAGGCGGCCGCATTGTGATCCGCGTTTCCACGAGTGCTAGACTTGTGTTCGGATGCTTTTCCGGAAGTGCTACGCAGTCGAGTTATACACGCGAACAGGGGCAGCCGTGTTTATTTCGTCCAGTGTCGTGGGTGATCAAGCACGTTCGTGCCGCCAGTGGTCCACCGACCACAGCAGACGAGTCTTCGTCATATCACACAGCAAGTGAAACATGAGGCAAGAAGCGGAAGTGACCTGCTCACTAGCAGGCCGCCATTCTCGGGATCGCACCCTCATGCGAGGTGTCTGCACGTGTATCATGGTTCGGAGCGGAGACGAACCAGCAAAGCATGCAAATGCGCGGTTCTAATACAGCTGAAGGCGTACAGCCATTGCTACACCCGACTCATTTTTGGACACGCACCGCAGCCCAACTTTGCAATCAGGACCTTGCAGATCAAATTAGCGCAGTTATCAATCATGTTCAGTTTGTTGGCAGGAACAAGTGAAAGGCATGACAGCATGGCGCACAGTGCCTTACAGTGGCGCACAGTGGCGCACAGTTGTCTCACAGTGGCACATAGTGTCTTGCACTGTCTCAACTCTCCGCAAAACTGCACCCGTGAAAATGAGACGCCATACTAAGCCTGTTTAATACTAGGGTGATCTTTCTCGAACTTAGGGGCAGGGGCAGGCAGGGGCAGAACAGACAACACCACGTGCAATATATGACACGGGTACTGCTTTAAACGACCAGTACCGCGGCGTATGGGGCGTCGCTTCTGGTCAACAAATTTATATTTTAAATTGATTGATTTTTTGTTAAATTTAAAACAAATGAAAATTGAAATTAAACAACAACTTTGAAAACAACTTTGCAACAACACTACGTTTTCGTTCGATTTTTTTGCAACTAGACATATGGTGCAGGGCTGTTTCTGTTCAGGTGTGTGACACCGTCCGTTCGAGCTATCACGTAAAATCATTTGCTTTTCAATGATGCCTTGTTTTTGTTAACCACATATACAACATGAAACCATATACGACACGATGCCAGGCCCCATGTAGGACCGAAAAGTGGGAGGCCGGGAGGCGGGAGGCCGGGAGGCCCGGGTTATCTGGCCCCGGCATCAAGCCTCCCATCCGAGTTGGGAATAACGTTTCCGCGAAAACCTATCGCGAAACGTGCGACGCTTACGAGACGAAAGTCAGCGCGCGTTACCGGGGTAATGTGGGATCGAAAAACGAGAGACGCGAGGTCTTTGACCCCGGGGTCCGGGGTCCCTGTCCCCGGGGTTTCCCTGACCCCGGAGTTTCCTGTCCGACTTGGGAAAAATGGTCGCACGAAAGCTATCACAAAGCGCCCGACGCTTAGGAGACAAAAATGAGCGCAAGCTACCGAAGTTGCGTGCCATGACGCGCACTCGCAGAACGTGGTTGTCTGTTCCTCTAAACGCGACCACATTCTCATGCATGGCAACAGCCGGGTCTACACCCGGTGACTGACTCGGCAGAAAGATACACATCACTTGGCTCATACGCAAGTCACTCTTTCCCACCCGCACCATAAAATGTCTTCAAACAACATGCTACTCGATCACTTTCCGTTGAGCCTTGGAAGCTCTCAATGATCTACGACGCGAAAAGTGCGTGCAATGCAACACTCCATCTCCGCGACACTTGGAGTGACTCCAAAGCAGTTCTACGACATGGACAACTGCCAATTGGGGCAAACTGAGGTCTACTGAGGTCAACTGAGATCATGCCACATCTTCACCGCTTTGCCGGTGGAGTGGAGCATGTTGTTCCAGTGCTGGAGTCCCGTACCGGTTGTGTACGAGATCGGTCCAATGCAGGACCTTCCGATGGTATGCCGCACCCCTGTCGGAAGGTCCAAGGTCAGATCGCAGGTCAGCACGTGACTGAGCGTGCTGACTGCGTGGAAGGGATGTTTGGGATACCCATGCTCGTCTCCACCCCATTACTGATTGTTCTCACCACCCCAGACTTCCCACCAGGCCCAAACTCTTTCCATCACCCAACACCGCTCCCACCACTCTACGCTTCCACGCTAATCTCAAACTCTTCCCGTTATTCCAAATACATTCTCAACACTCCAGACTTCCCCACTTATCCTAAACTCTTCCCACTATCGCAAATGCGGTTTCAACACTCCTGACGTCCCACTACATCGAAACTCTTTCCGCCACTCGCCGACCCACTCCGTGACTCTCAGCTCTTCCCAGCGCGCCCAGCTCACCGAGTTTGCTGCGCGCGCAGACGGCGACCACGAGACACACGTCGGACAAAAAGCTTCGCTGCACAGGCACCGTCAGCCGCTCATTGAGCTCAGGGTCGCGCGTGTGGCGACACGGCCGAGACTTCTTCGTCCGCGTCAGGCGCTTCCTCTCGTACCAGGACAGCTTGACAAACAGCGACACTGCAACAGAAGGATTGCACGTGGCGCGTTGTTGAGTGAAGAGGCAGTGGGGTCAACGGCGGAGATCTAGTTGGACCTCTGATGTTGCAGATTTGAGCCATCCAGTAGGCTCAAACTGTTTAAGTCCCCTAGGCAAAAGGTGCGATGGAGACAAAAATATATTAGTCAAAGCACCAAGGGAGATCGAAATCAGCGGTAGTCAAACCAGTGCACAAGCACAAACAGGCACAAGCGTTGGAACGATGACTGGTAAGGCGAGGCCGCTGGGGAAAGTTGATTAATTTTATCGTTACAGGGATGAGAAAAGTGACTTCTGTCATTTTTGATGGAAACGCTGCCAAAATGTAAGACCTGACAGCGACGTTGGGCTATGGGTTTTCTACGCCATGTCGCACGTCGTGTGCAAAACACAGCCGCCTTCAGAGCCCGCTGCCATACGGAAATGGGACTTTCCAACATTATTATGTCTATACAGCATGTTCCGTCTGCGAAGTCATGTTCCTTGCACAACGACATGCTTACTTCCTTGGAAAACCTCGACGAGGCCGAAAGGAGGCTTTGCAAATGCTTACAGATAAAAAACATCGCTAACAAACGACACTTTCCGTGGACCACTCTTCACCCACCAAGATCTCTCTCCGGAACCCGGAGATCCCTGGCTCGGAGCGCTTCTGCGTAGATCATTTCGGCGTCGGGCACGTAACAGAGCGACACCTCGACCTGGCCCTTGTTGTGGTCCATCTGGCGACCGGCACAACACGTGTCAGCCAGTGCGCGAGGACATTCCGGGCATGTGTTACTAGGGCCAACTATTCGGATTTCAGCTGTCTTAAAGGTGTTTTTGTACTCCGGCTTGACGTCATAAAACTTTATGACTGTAATCGTGCCGCTGTTCCCCGCTCTCTGCTTCTTTCAATTCCACAGTTTTCTGCTGACTCATGCACAGTTGATATGGGAGATAATGCATATGTGGTATACATATGAGGCGTAGGCGATAATATGACATAAGTCAAACGCATCATCATGTCTGCCCACCTCATCACGTTCACCACCTACCCCTACGCCTTCTGACACCCTGTCTCTACCAGTCCCTCCACACCGCCTATTGGCCTTCTGCTCGGGAGGCGCTCCTCCACTCACCTCCTACTAACCCTAACCTTCCCTCCCCCACCGCCTGCTGCTCTCTACTCAGGAGGCGCTCCTCCACCCACCCTCCACACCGCCTATTGACCTTCTGCTCGGGAGGCGCTCCTCCACTCACCTCCTACTAACCCTAACCTTCCCTCCCCCACCGCCTGCTGCTCTCTACTCGGGAGGCGCCCCTCCACCTACCCCTACGCCTTCTGACACCCTGTTTTCACCTTTCCCTCCTCCACCGCCTGCTGACCTGCTCGGAAAGGCGCTCCTCCACTTACCTTCTACTACCCCTAACCTTCCCTCCCCCACCGTCTGCTGCTCTCTACTCGGGTGGCGCTCCTCTACCTACCCTACGCCTTCTGACACCCTGTCTCCGCCCTTACCTCCCCCACCGCCTACTGATCTCCTGCTCGGGGAGGTGCTCCGCCACCTGGGCGTACAGCTTCTGACACTGTCCCTTCCCTTCCCTCCCCCACCGCCTGCTGACCTCCTGCTCGGGGAGGCGCTCCTCCAGCTGCAGCCAGGTCTCCCCCGTCACCACGTCCGCCGTCAGCCGACTGCTGATGTTGGCCCTGCTGAGGGGGAACACTACGTGGCCCAGCACCAGCCGACGAGAGAACTTGTCGTAGTCGCAGACCGTGAGCCGCAGCGCCTTGTGGTCCAGGTGCGCGCGCCGCAGCGCGAACACGAACTCTTCGTTGAAAGTGGGGTCCTGCGTGTTGCGCACCACACGCGTCGTGTATTTCTGCTTCTTCTCGGGAAGCACGCACACCTGCGCGGAGGCCGTTGTGTTCAGAGGCGGCATTTGCGATTGATAACAGAGACATGCGATCTCGCAGTGCCGTTGGGGTTTAATCTGCGGTCATAGGTATGTTTTGTCCGGCTGCTTGTGAGGCGTATATGTGCATGTTGAGCCACATTCTTACAACTTCGATGTGCTTAAATTCATGGCATCGAAACAAGGCAAAACCTCGTCTTCTGGGACGCTATCTTTCTGAACAAAACAGCGCATTACTCCGTCATTCCATAATATATCGTGTGTGAACCTGTCGTGCACAAAGGTGTGAACAAAACGTTGCTCGGGCCACCCTCAGTAACACTCACTTTCACGTAGGCGTCTGCCGACCCTTTGCGTATTTTGGCCGGTAGATGGCGCGCACCCACGACCCGCACGGTCAAGTGCTGTCTGGTGACGTCATAGCGCAGGCAGAATCCCAGTGAGCCGCCGCTGGAGAAGCGGGCCCCGCCCTCCGACTCGGACGTCGTATCCGGTGACGTCACTGGGCTGCCGCGGAATAGCACATGACGTCACTGGTCTGCAGTGAGCTGTGCGACTTTCCTGGTCGGCACTTATTAGAATGGTGCAAGCGAAACGTCACTGAGCTGCACGGAAGAGCATCACTGACAGAAAGGTTAGCGTGTGGCGCCATTAAGCGGCCACTAAATGGCATATGACATCACTTCCGGCCTACCGTGCGGGCCGGACACTAGTCACACCGCCAACAGCACTGACCTGGCGTACTCATACAGCTCTGCACTGATGGTGTCGGGATTAAAGACCGGCCGGGGACGGGCTCCCGTCCAGGACCTGCGGAACATCGAGCAAGATCTGTAAATGCGCTGACGTCACAAGAGCCAGATGTGAAGCCTGGCCGACGTCATAAGAGCCATATCTGCAGCTTGGTTAACGTCACAAGAGCCAGATCTGGAGCTTGGCTGACTTCACAGGAGCCAGATATGTAGCTTGGCTGACGTCACAACAGCCAGATCTGGAGCTTGGCTGACGTCACGAGAGCAACACTAGGTACCTCTTCAGTACCGCCTTGTCACAAGAACGGTACACAGAAACTGAATCTGGTCACAAAACATTTGTGAGCGACGTCTTTGATCCCAGTCGTGAATCCAAAAAATGATTCAAGTTAACTCGTAACAACGACAAAAAGTCGAGCGCATAATGTGGCGGTGCAAAAAGATTCCTTTTAGCTGTGCCAAGATGAGCAAGTACGTTGTGCAGTACATCCTACACTCTAGATTGCTGGATGTCCGTACTGGTAAGCCAAGTTTCCCACACCCAATCTCTGGATAGCCATTCCCAGCAGCAGTTCTTAGCAACTTTAAATAGACTGTGTAGTTTGCAGTTGCTAGCACATTTAGCTCTAACATTTTAGCATAAACACAAAGGCTGTTTCTGTTGTTTCGCCACTGACAACATCGCTATCATCGATTTTTTTCAATTCAACCATTTCTCATAAATTGCTTTAACAGCTTCGCTGACGACAATTGTGCTGGAAACTGGCGGCCTGCGATGCACGGCTGCCAGACAAGTTTGCCACCGGCGCTGGTTGCCATGCGTGTTACAACGTTGTACATGACCTTGACTCCTGTAAAAAGTCCGACCTTATCAACGCCTGTCACGTCCTGCCACAAGCCAGGAGGCGCCCCCGTGGTGATACCACGACCCCGCTGTGACCTTTAACCCTCCCAAGATCAGCGGCAGAGAAGGACACACACGGAAGGGCGCACAATCAGGCCAGCGTCGTCGACCCTGACTGATGCAAGCGCGAAATGTGGGGCAGCAGATGTGATGCTTTGGCGCAGGCGGCTTAGATAAAAACACCAAACCCAGGGGCGGACCCAGCACCGAATCCTGGGGGCATGTTTACAATGCTGCGCCTCAGCTAGGTCATGGCGTAAAAACGGACCTAGATGGAGAGAAGTTTGCTGCCCAGCTTGCGAACCATTACTGGACCCTTCAGCCGTGACCCGTCCCAGCCGTCAGCGGGATGGGTTAACGGTGCAACGGTGCAACGGTGCAACGGTGCAACGGTGCAACGGTGCAATGTGGTGTCAACGGTGCAACGGTGCAACGGTGCAATGTGGTGTCAACGGTGCAACGGTGCAACGGTGCAACGGTGCAATGTGGTGTCAACGGTGCAACGGTGCAACGGTGCAACGGTGCAACGGTGCAATGTGGTGTCAACGGTGCAACGGTGCAACGGTGCAACGGTGCAACGGTGCAGATGTGGTGTCAACGGTGCAACGGTGCAACGGTGCAACGGTGCAACGGTGCAATGTGGTCTGGCCCATTCGGGATGGGATAACGGTGCAATGTGGTGGTGCAATGGTGCGATGCCGTTGTAAAGATAGCTTTTATGTTGCAAGGCTGAATTCGGTCGAGGGCGAATCACAAGGCCGCCATAGACTCAGAGCGGTGGCGTCACCTGTGCAGATGGCGGCCACAGGTCAGTAGATAACGGATCTGGACCTTGTCTGACCTGGATCTGGATCTGACCTTGTGACCTAATCCTGTGTCTGGATTTAGGTCTCATCTGGTCTGAACAGGAATGCAGATCTGTCCGATATATGATCTGGATTTTGACCTTATTTGCCCGGGATCTGGACCTTATTTGACTTGAGTCTGGACCTTATCAGACCAGGAAGCTGTTCGTCCCACAGATAGGGACCCCACCTGTTTGACTGGAAGGTCGCCAGTGACGAAGAGCTTGACGAGTGACTCAGCGCCGAGAGGTCACTGACCGGCTCGCTGCCCGTCTCGCTGATGGTCACCTACGGAACAGAACACAATGACGTCATCGTGACGTCACATGTGGCACGGTGACGTCACACAGGCCGTTCAGGCGGCGGGGGTGGCGTCGCTGGTATACTGGATCTCGACCATATGCGTCTTTCAAATCAGATTGTGCTCAAATCAGAGCAAGATGTTTCTCTGTCGGTCATCCAAAAAAAAAAAAAAACAAAAACCAGCTCGACATCCGGGCTCATTCAAATGAGGAAAACGTTGCAGTGCTATGCTCATCGCGCGAAGATAATTAACAGTAAAGAGATGTGGGGCCCAGTGGCGCAGGTAGGATTTCATTCAAGGGGGGGGGCAAGGTCGGAGCATTGGGGACACTTTCAGCCAGGAAGGTCCCATTTCGTCCCTAAAGAGTAAATACGCCCTGTTTTGGGATTCGGGGAACCGTTTTAAGATTGGGATTCTATTTGCATGCTGCGAGGACTCGTTTTTGATGTTTTAGGAGTCGTATTGTACGAGTCTGAACCTACCAAAAAATGCATGAGCCCCTGGGGGCCCCACCAGCTCCAGGGGTCTGCAATGACCCATGCCGCGGGTGGATCATAGCTCATGGCTTATGGCTCATGGCACAAGTAGCCCCCCCCCCCCTCCCCTGTTTACGTCATTGGTGGGGGTGCCGGCGGTCATCAGCGGATGTGAGCTTTGAGAAAAGAGCAGACTTCGCCAGGTCATTAAAATGTCATGCGAAATATTCAACCTTGTCCTGTTGGCTGGTAGAACGCGCACTATGCAAAAGTGCATGCGAGTGCGCGAAGCATGCAAAGTCGAATGCAGTAAAGCATAAAAGGAAACGCTCCGAATACCGTGCTCATGACGCAACAGTGTTTTAACATCGGCGTAAAACGAGAAAGTTTTGCTTTCAAGGAATGCATTACCTTAACGAATGCTGCTTCAGTAGATATCAGTGGATCCTATACAGCTGTTAAACAACGATATTACTGTAAATAATGTGGCATATCCGTCACTGCTGACGGAGCAAGTACTGGCACCTTGCATCAAATCCCGGGTTGGCATCAGATTTACACCCTGTGCACTCCACACACTCCATGCACCTGCATGGAGTGACAGGGCCACACCATCCTCCCGACGTAGCCGCGGTGACGGCATCATTGCAGACAGAACGGGGCACACGCCACGAAACCTTTCACCATATCCAGGGGCAGCACGTCCCCACCCTTGCCCGGCGAGCCGTGTCTGACCCCCGCCTTTGGCATCAGCGCACTTGAGCTACCCCGTCCCCCGCCCCTGCACCTGTTGCCCCCTCCCCCTCTCTCGCTCTCTCTCTCTCTGAGCCGGGAAATCAATAGCGCCCAGCTGGCTGGGAAGGAGGGGGCGGGGGCGAGGTGGTGCCACCGGGCCCCGGCGAGGGCCGAGTCGGTCAGGCCAGACTGTGCCGTGACCCAGTGGAGGCCCAGTGAATCGGGCTAGCGGATCAGTGGGTCAAAATAAACATTCAGGGATCAGAAAATGGATCCGATGTTCAATACAGAGAGCGAGGGAATCAGTAGGTTCACCAAGGATCTGTGCGCCAGACTGGGGTCTCGTCGTTGTCTGGTTGGCCAAACCAGCAGATGAATGGGTCAAAAGAAGGTTTCGGCAGGTGAAGCGAACGGTTCTGGGGGTTGAACGTGATGGTCACCTTACAACTGAAAGTGACACATCTGGAACTGACTTGCCTGTTAGGTAATGGTTAAATTCTCTGAGTTACTTGTTTTGCACCATAGGGAAAACTGTTAAGAACGGTTCCTATATAATTTCGTAACGTTACATTAAGCCTGCTAACATCATCAGACAACATAGGTACAAATACACGTAACGACAATATACAACGCATTCGTGGTCGCGTCGTTTCAAAATCACATTCCCGCATTCAGCTTGCTCAAAACGGGTCACTTGGTTTTAGCAAAAGCTGCTGTCATGCACAGAGCTAGTAGGCACCTCGCATAATGATGAACGCTGGTAAAGCCGTCACCCGGTTCGGCTTTGTCGCCCCCCCCCCCCCGCTCCCCCCCCCCCCCGTTCCCCGTTTACGTCCCATTTCTACGTGCCAGAAGCTGCCCATCCCACAGCCACAGTGCGCCCCACATATCCATCTGCCGGTTGATTGCTGGATCTGGAGTTTTGTAGAACTGGAGTTTCGTAAGTCCATACACGTCTCCAGTTGGGTGCACTGAAGGAATATTCGCATCACGTTAGAGACTGGGTGCGTCAAGCTAAGGGATTGATGAACCAACATAAGGGTTCAGTATGTTGAATCATGTGGCTATTGGCCATGACGTCTTATTATGGATTCATGGGGGGGGGGGGGTTATTTCGGAGGGTTTCAGCTTTAAAAAGAAGCTGCATGCCCTCGTGTCGGCACAGTGGGTTGACAACTTCGACTGAGTCCTCTTCACGTTAAGTCACGCACAACGCTTACCAAAACAGTGAGATATTCGTAATTGATTCTAATATGATGAGTACATCCATCGCGTTTATATTTCAGGACAGATTCCACCACCACGTGCAGTGGCATATGCTGCCTTACTTTGTGGGAATCAGACAATGCGATATAACTAAACCATGTTCCGTATCACGATATTGCATTACGAACTACGGAATACTGCCTAAGAATTTAACAAAGAAAACACGAAACGACATAGAGCGGTCGTGCCAGTAAGATGCGGAAAGAAATGGGTTTCGTCTTGAATGAATCTCAGATGAGAACCCGTTGGAAAACCGCAGCAATTTGACCCCCCACTTCTAATCCCCGTCTTGGAGCAGGACCCATCGTTGTCACATCTCTGACGGGAAGGGGAGACGGGAGATAAAAACATGGCGCAAGAGGGCTTTAGTTTGTGGCTATAGAAGGCTATACAAGGGCACTTCAGAAATTGAAATCCGGAAAGGTACCCCCGTAAACTAATTCAGACATTGTTGGCTCCTTTACCGTCACGCAGATTGACTGGCGTTAACATTGCATGCCGAACCGCAGTGCGCTAAACCTTTATTACGGTCTAAAATCAATAAATCATAACGGTAAAAAGGACAAAGTGAGAAACGGTGCGGGACAACCCAGTGTTTGTCACGATAATACGTTATAGATGCCGCAGACAATTAGGTAAGATTGGCTTGCGACGGGTTACATCAGCTCAAACATCCTTAGTTTGCCAAGTTTACAGTGCCTGTGTCACTGTCATAACTTATCTCCTCCTTAAGTCCATATTAGACGCTCTTGGAGAGCGAGCATCTTAGTTGATATTGCACGGTATGATGGTGACTTCGGCCTGAGATTCGAATGAAATACACCGAGCCGCAATATGCACAATACTTTGGCAGACATATTTTGCTAAGGTGAGTTTAAGTATTGAAAATTAAACCAAAAGGTTCCACTAACTTTGATGACTGCCCGTGCTGTCTACCGGCGGCAATCTCGTCTGGAATAATTTTTGGCCTTTTGCCCCAAATTCCAAACTTTAAAGTCACCTAAGGAGGTCATGTCTGTATAAATATAGCACTAACAACTTGGCGAAGTTGTTGGTGAAAATTTACGATAGACGAAACAAGAAGACAATAATTTTGGCACAGATTGCGCTCATGTTGTTAATTCCATGTGTCGTACTGACATTCTCTACGCACCGCCTTCTACCGTGTTGTTACCAGTTTCCTTTCCTGGCTGTATTGGTCTATAAACACCAATAATTTCCAAAATATCATTCATGATCAATCTAAATTTTCCAAAAACAAAGCACTCAGTTTGAATGAACTGACAGACGGAAAAATTCCTTGCCATACCATTGCCATTGAGATTGCAATGGCCATTGCATGCCAATTGCTTTCTTGCCGAAACTCACACAAAACAGTGAAGTGGCTGTTTTGGCACAAAATTACAGGGCGCGTGTTCACGACATGGAATATTCGACATTGTAAACACTCGTCGCTCGCGTGCTGTGCTTGATGCGTGGCTTTCGCCCACCATTCCAACATGCGTGTTAAATACATTTAATATTCGGCACTGTAAACACTTGTCGCTCGCGTCGATGCGTGATTTTCACTTCTCTCAAGCGTGTTTGCAGGCCACGCCATGGGAAGGAGACCAAAGTTAAACACCACAACCCCGACACGGTGTCCTATCTTGCACAAGTGGAGGTCTGAACCACGGAGCAGCGTCGTGTCCGAGGCAGTAAACGAAATCGTCGAGCACCGCCGGCCTTATCTTTACACAACTCGTCACAGTACACAATGCCTTCAACTGTCGCATGTTTGCTGTCAGGGAAGACCTATGACTCATGGCATCACCGCGCGCTGCAACGACTTAATCCAGGGAAAGGCTGTGTGGTTCGGAGCCTTGCCAGGGACATTGAATTAAAGGCGTATAAGCTATGGAGCCCTGAGCTACAGGAGCGATCGACGAATTTGAATGCACCAACCCGTTGTTCTAGAACAAGCATTCACACGCCATAGATCAGAGGTATCGAGAATTGAAAAGATATCAATAAGAATGAAGAGGCACGATGAGGTATGATGGGGTATGATCAGAGCTTTGACGTTTTCGTGTAAATTCACCCGAGTTTGGGGAGAAATCAGGCTTTGGGGACAGGTTAAGGGATTCATCACGGGCTTAGCTCTCGCCCCAAACCGATCTTAAACAGTAACATCCCTTGCCGAGGCTGTTGGTCACCCTTAAAAGCATTGTTAGCTGGATATCGTGCATGGGTAAACTTGAGAAGAGACATAAAAACTAGCTCTTTTGGCCGCTCATGTGTGCTTCAAACTTGACCTGCATCTGCTGTTTGGGTGATCTATCTAGAAGCTGATACGTAGCCATATTTTTATTGAGGGGGCGAGGGGGCCGCATGTCCAGGTTTCTCCGAACTTTGCGAACTTTGACCGAATTCTGGAGAATTCACCCAGTATCTAGCCCCTTTTTGGCTCAGGGACGAAGACAGAATGACCCCATTCTTTGCGCCCTCCTCTTGGCTACGTACCTGCAGGTATCTACGCTTGTTTCAATGTTTGCGTTAAATGGATTGTTCCACATTTCGTTTGGGGTTTTGAACTGGAATAGCCATCTGGAAGATAACTGGGTGCAGTTCATAGCCGTGCCCTTCCTGAAACTTAAAATCCTCTAGCTTATGAGCTACACTCCTGCGAAGACGCGCAGACTTTTCCGTCCAGACTATTTTAAGTTTACCCAGGCATCCATGACGTCATAATAACGCCATTCAAATCCTGCCGTTCTACTGTCTATGCGGCGTAAAAGACCATGGAGACTGTAATTGTCGAGTCGTTCACGTCAGGCGTTTGTGAGCACGATTTCCAGGTATAACGACCGTAAGTTGGCTCTCAACCAATATTACGTTACTTATGCGGGTATGATGAGGCGTGGCACAGGTAAATGAAGTGCGATACAGGTGTATGAGGTAGGCTACCCTCACACGGACGCATAACGCCTGTCATGCGTGATACTTTTACCACTGCTGCACTTCTCACTAGTTCATTTGTTTCATTACTTTCATAACTTAAGTCATTTTAATGGTTTATGACGTTTATTGACATGGTTTTATTATTGCCCTGCATTATTACCATTGTGATCACCATCTCTATTTACATTATCATTATTTTCAACACTGCTTATTATTAGCATCATTTTATATTATGATTTGACTGTATTCCTTACTACCAATCCAAACACTAAAACATTTCGTCCACGAAGAATAAGCGAAGAATAAGCAAAATAAATAAGCGGCTGCCACCACACCGACAACTCCCCTTTAACTGAAGCTTTCCGGCAAGCATCGATCGCCGTCTGCAGCAGCGGTGCACCAAGTCAAAAAGCAGCGAGAACGAATCTCCTTTTAAAATTTTCCTTGTCCATCACCGCAAAGTTGATGCTGATTTGGACGAGCCCACTATCGCGAACAGGTGTGGGGGGGGGAGGGGGAGGGCACAGTCGCGTTACCTCGCGCACTAAATGTCACCGTGTCAGGGCTGCCAACTTGACATGAATTCGGAAAACAGCTGCTTCCCAGCGGTCGCGCAAACAAAGCGGGCGCCAGTGACTGCGACTAGGCAGAGCGGTCGCTTTCGCAATTTAGAATGCAGATTTATGTGTGGTGGGCGCGAAGAGCCTTGCAAAGATCACCTACCGGCTCAGTTTTCCTTTACTAGGCGATCAGGTGCATTTGCTTGACTTGAAAGGCGGCAGCGCATGTTGGCCTCAATATTGTAACGTGACGAATAATTGATTAGGAGCGGAGAGTCGGTGCAACGCCGCCAAATTATTTTTGCACGGAGTTTGGGCGGAATATTCGTTGGTCACAGCTTCAGGCAGTTTAGCTACAGCAAACTGCCTGATATAGGCGGTTTTCTGTAGCTATCAGGGCAATAGCAGGTCATAATACGAAAAATGGCGGGTAAATGACGGGAGGAGCGCTTGAAAAGAAGAAAAAAACATGGAACATCTCGCCTTCATCAACACATAGTGTATTGTCGATGCCATGTCATATCCGTTTCAGAGTTTGAAAACGTATGACGAGAATTATGATATATGAAATCATAAGCCAGCTAACGCATCAGTCAACGACATGCTAACTGCCACGCAGTGCGATCAATTTCAGAACAGCGCTGACTACAGGGTCCTGCGAGTGCAAAACAACTACAATCCAAACAAAAGAGAAGAGAACAAGAAGTAAACAAAAGAGAAGTGACAGAAAATTGTCGCGAAGTGAGCACACGTAGGATGTGCAAGCTGACTTTCGCATCGTTCGCAATGGGCACGAACTTGCGAAAGTGCCTACATTTGTAAAGTTTGCAACAAGACAACTCTACTTCACCATCAAGCATGCAGCCAACCCCAAGCTCGGATACTGCTTATAGGAATGTTTCTCTTCAACCATCCATTCCGAAAGCTTTGACGTGACCACGATGTTCGGATCCAGAAATCACACAACCAACGTTGTGCAATGAGACAAAATCCAAAGTCGAAAAACAAATTCAGATTCTCTCGTGATCTTCACCAATCCAAACAATGCATACACATGCATTTATGTTTGTCTCCAGGACGATGGATACAAGTCACGTACGTAGAACATGCGCCTTCATCGATCCTCCTAACAATAGTGCCTAGGATCGCCGGACCAATCTTAGAAAATCTCATGGGCATCTTCACGACTACAGTTTCAGGTCTTCAACTAAATAAAATTCAGCAGGCTCACTAGATGTTGGGCCATTAAAGACCGGGTGTAAGAATAAATTTGAAGATTTGAAGATTCTTGTGGTGGCCATTGTAATATGATCAAACTAGGGACAAGTGCCTCGAATTAACAGAAGGTCTCTTAATCTAAGCCACGACAGCAATATACAAGAAGGGATGAATACGTCTGAAAGTGTTTAAAATCTTCTTATTTTCAGCTTATGATATCTTAAGATTGAGCATGTGTACCTGAATGAAAAATACGGTTGGCAGGCAGGTGGGACACCTTGTGGCACCTTTTTCAGGGCGCCTGCCTTGCGGGGTGGGTGCGGGCTTTCCAATTTGGGCGTGGGACGGGTGCAGGCATTCCAAACCAAAAAGTAGCATCTTTACTAAACACTTACCATCGGGCTGATGACGTCAAAACGACCTTTAAGAACGTCGTATGAGCCTTAGCACTGCCCCCTCCCCACCCACTTGGACCCTGCCCAGCGCAGGCACGCACGCCGGACCCACGAGTCTCGACTGCGACCCACCGTGGGGAGCACGAACGCCACCGGATGATCGGGCCGGACAGCGGTTATCTGCTGCTTCAGCGGCTGCCGCTCCTTGTCCCGGCGCTGGCGGTGCCGCAGCCACAGCAGCAGCGCGACCAGCAGGCAGCAGCCGGCGGAGACTGCCACCGTCGGCAGGATTACCAGCAGCGCCACCTGCGCAGCAGAAGCGCAGATTCAGGAACTTTGATAAGTTTGGGGACGTGGTGCGTCAGGGGGGTGATATTACGTCGATGGGTAGTTTCCGTGAGTGGACGATACAGAGAACATGAAAGAATGACAGAGACGTGACGTGACCTGGCCGACGTGACCTGACCTGACGTGACTGACCTGACGTGATGCGGTTTGGCCTGACGTGACCTGGCCAAACCGCATCACCCAGGAAGCAGGCAGCCACTGCAGTACAACCTCACATAGGAATGCTCAGCTGGCGTTGCTTGTTAGCAGCCACCACCAAGGATGTTTCTTAAAAAAGTAGATCGCTTGGGCTACTCCCAAACCCAAAGATGCGTGCGAGATGAAAAATCGATAACGTTCCTGAAATGATCGAACGCTCAGCAGTAATCGCAAATAATGTTGAAACAATTGTTATGCATCGCCATCGACACAAACGAGAAGTTGCACAGCCACACGACCTCCAAAAATATTCACGCCACATCCCTGATTCGAAGAAATATGGGACGGACGAAGAAATACATGGGACGGCCAGATCGCGGTATGACGTCACTCACCTGTGCGTCGGAGTTTGCGTTGGGCGCTGCCTGTACTGTGACGTCACCCGACGTCACTGTGCAGTTGGGGCATCCGCCGGCAGCCATTGCGGCGTGGCTGATCACGCCACGGGATCACCGAAGGTCACCGAGGGCGGTCACGCGACTTCACTCGCAGCCAATCACAGGTAACTCGAGGCGGCTGGTTGTTTGACCTCAACCGAGGTCGAACAAGTGTGCGGGAGATGGCCTGGCAGCGAATATTGCGCTCGGCCTGAGGGTTCTCAAGTCCGCTCGCGTCGAACGCTACAGTTTTCAGGGATGCTGCAGAGCACGTCGCGGCCAGCGCCGCCACCGAAGACCATGCAACAAAATATGACACCGGCTTGTCGCCGAGTCGGTTGTCGAGAACTCCTGTTCAAATTATCGCCCGGCGTGTTCGAACAGCCCACCAGCAGTTCTTCCAAAGTGACTCTAGCGAGGACAAGCCTACATCGGGATCGTTCCGGGGTTGTTGCCAAGGCGACGACGGACGCTTTGTTCCTGACGGACGGCAGCTGCCAGTCGAGGGGAATGACCTGCAACACCCAGCATTGACAGTCATTAATCACGAGAGATGACACCAGGATATGCACCGGGCCGAGGGGAGAGGGACGGAGGGGGAGTGCACGAGGACAGCATACGCGTTATCAGTCCTGTGGGGTTCAAGGTTAATACGTGCTCTTCCAGGTCACGATGAACACATGAAACGGTCTATGTCGTAAATAAGGCAATACTTTCACGCCGTATGAGTACTAACTTCCGCCGCATAAGTGCTAACGTACGCCGCACAACATACAACGTACGAAACAACCAATTTCGTACGCACCAGCTTTTCTTAAGTGCTTTGCCATTCTGGCGATGTCTGCTTTTCATCATGGTCAATGAGTGATCTCTCCAATTACGTAAATATGTCCACAGTTGATGTGCTCATTGGAGTCCAGTTCACCAAGGATCACTGCCGACAGCTGCCATACCGGACAGGGAAGTGCGACGGGGAAATATCTAACACTAATTCCTTGAAATTAGCATTGGATGCCTTAGTAACTCGATTGTGTGCATGCTGGTTGCAGTTGCTGCGCGTATGGCCGTGCAGGTTTCCATCGCATAGTTTTCTTGATTTAGGCAAGATGTGCTCGAGGCTGTCTTTAAAAAAGATAACATTGTGCGCTTCCCAGCTAGTTGCCGACAGTGCTGGGCGGGAGCGGCGCTATTGTCCCAGTATGGGGGGGGGGGGGATTTTCCAGTGGCCTCATGGACAAAATGGGTTTGCCTCTCAAGGGGACCTGCCGGGCAGTGTGGTATTGGATGGGGAGAGATACCGGGACGTTTGTCTTCTCAAATCGTTACATGCGACAGATACATGCAAATAAACGTCAAAAGTGAACACCCAGAATAGAGCCGTTCTGATTATCCAGAAAAGGCCTCGTTACCCTTAAACGTGAACACCTCCCTCAGAAAAGGGCCGCATGATGCACAGATGAGCATCTTAATCCAGAGCAGGAGCGTCCGATTCATAAAGGAGGGCTTCCATCGAGCAAGGAGTCTCGTTATCCAAGAGCAGGGTACCACGATCCAATACATGAAAGAGACTTCTCGTTCCAAAAAAGGGACCTCCTTAATATGAAGGGCGTATCCTAACCCAAAATAGGGGACTGCTGGTTCGTAACGGGGGCATCCCGAGCCAGCAATAGGGCCTCCTTAACACAAAATTGGGCCTCCTGATCTAGATTATGAGGTACTATATTCATGAAGGTCGTGCCATGATCCAGAAAATGGTCTCTTCAAACTGAAAGCGATTTTCTGAGGCCGATTTTTCAAACTTCAGGTCAGTTAAAGGGAACCTTGATCTTAATTTTGGCAATCTACGGGTGACTACAGAACCTTAAGTTTCGGAAAAGGGGCACCTCAAAAAGTTGAGGGAGCAAAACAATGATGTTGCCCCCCCCCCCCCCCCACCCCCACCCCCTGCTGCGCCGCCCCTGGTGCTGCGTCGGTCAGAATGGTCGGACAGTGCTACAGAGGGTTACTTATTTGTAGAAAAATTTGTACTAATGTATTACATTTACAAATGTTTACGTGAATGTATTACATTCACGTAAACCGTGCAGTTTGTTCAACGCCTACGTCTGCTCTGGTATGTGCAATCTAACAGACATTTCCTGCAAAACGAGCAGATCCACGGTTTGCACAGGATCGTGCGTGATCAGATATATAGCTCAGGCCACACCTTGTCCATATGATGGATGTGATGAGTGACATAACAAATTGGATGCGAGTGTCCTCTCCTTTCTCTGTCTGACTTAGCTAGTCACGTGTTGCAACGCCCCCGCATTGTCGAAAGCTGGGTCCGGATTTCGCCCCATTCTTCAGCCGTTTATAGTTTAAAAATACGCATGCTTATCACAGGACAGTTTCTGCCGACATGGCGAAATTGTGACCCCAACCCAGACAGAAAATGATTAGCGAGCTGTTGACCCGGGTAGAAAACAGACTCGTAGCTTTTGCCCAGATAACTGATGGAATGCTAATCCTCAATGCGCAGTATGAGTTTGACTTCTTGGTTGTGTGCCTTCTTTTTCATTGGCAATGTTCTTGCGGAATTTTGCATTTGCAAGTCGTAAACTCAGGGCATAAAACCAGAAAATCTTTAAAACTACTTGTGATATGACACCCCAGTGGGCCGATAACATCCCAGCAGTCTCAAGAATTCTTAAAATTATGAAAGCATTGTCTGAGCTGTGGCTGAATTCGCTCCATACTTAACAGGCCATCGATGAAAACTTTGAGACTCGTCACGATTATTTCACCTGTTCACCCTTGTAGTTCCTACCACCTCCTGGTGTGCATACTCGTTTTCACTGCAGGTTTCGCTTGTTGCTCTTGGTGAACAAAAGGCCTCTCAACATTGTGTGATTCGCCACATATGTCTAAATGATGGGGAGGGGATTATGCTGAACTGGGTCCCTTGACAACGGACCACTACTTTTCGAGAGCGATTTCCAATGCTGACTACAAGTTTCCACTCATTTGCCGATTGCAGTTGCACACGCCACGATACGGGACGTGGCTGGTCACGATTTACACACTTCCATTAATTTGCTCTAACCAAAACTGTCGGGAATAATCTCACAAATATTCTCCGCAACTATCGGTTTTATTCCTGTAGACGTTCTCCGCAACCAGATGAAATTTAGAGAAAGAGGGTGAAAGCCACCATTCAGGGCATAACCCGTCCAGGTTTCAGCGGACGAAACAAATCGCGCTCACCTTCAGATGTCAGCTGGGATGAGCACCACCGGTTCCGAACCACCCCATCGAAGCGGCGACACACTGCAGCACCGAAGAGGCCCGGCGCAGAAGCAGAGAGTCACGCTCGCACCACCGGCGGCGCCCCGTCACACGCCCCGCGCCTGCGAGCCCCCCGGCCTTCTACTGTCGCCTGAGGCTGCGAGGCAGCCGGCGGCGCGGCACCGGACTGACGTGACGTCATAGTTCTGACGTCACGCCGAGACGACGCGGGTGTTCGCGGCAATGGCGGGAGGGGCGGGGTGCGGTGCGCACGTGTGGTCTCAAGGGCGGAGGTGATATTTCCGGTCAAGGGCACGACGTAGCGTGGGGCAGGGCTGAGACTTGAGTCTTCGGAATAGGTAAAACTGATGAAAAGTGGTACTCGTGATGTTTTTTGGTTGTTATTTTCTTTTGTTCAAGAAGCGTCAGCAGAATGCAAACACGCGCTCTCAAAGCAAAACACATTGTGGAGATGTTCCTCCCACATGCAAATGGAAAAAAACGCCTTACGTCGCTCCACTTGGGCCATCACCTGTGGCATGGGCGGATCCAGGGGTCCGGAGGTGTTCCCCCCCCCCGCCCCTCCTGTTCAAGCAGTAAAAGGCAGAATGATCCCCTGCGGCCTTTTTGGCATCGTCGAGCCTTTTCAGTGTCGCCACACCACGTGCCTCTGGTTTCCCAGAGACATACAGTACCGCATTCATGGCCATGCATTATCATCATGCAGTAACGCAATCGTAAAATTTGGAACAACGAATGAGTAAATGATGATGAAAACACCCCGCTGCTGTTTTGATAGCCGGGGCGGCGAACCATGGATATTGACCCTACTTATGCCAGTTTTCGTTCTTTTCAAATTCGCTGCCAGGCTAGGTCCCTGTCTAATAATGCTAACGTAAAAGGGCTTGTGATAGTCTCAACATCGTATTGCGTGATTTTGATAGTAGAACTTATAACCACTACATTTGATACGCCTGAGGGGTCGAAAAAACGAAACAGAAACGCGTAAGTTGAGTGGCTAACGTTCTCATCATCCCATCATCTCTTCATCATCATCATCTCATCTCATTAAATTTATCACTAACTTTCTCATTAAATTTACGTTTGTCGATGACTCAATGAACGTGTAATCCTTTCCCCGTACCACAGCAATCCATAACAACAAAACTGACACATGACAACGAGCGTTGCTTCATCCCAGCTAATAATCACCCGCCGAATGCATGCGCATTTCTGGTTTCTCGTCACGTCACACGTCACGTCACACGTCACATCACCGCCACGTCACATGTCACGTCACATAGCGTAGACCGCGGCATCCTGTCACTCCCCTGCCTCCTCTGAGCTGTCAAACGCGCTTGTCCGCCGGGGGCGGCGCGTGGGTGGCAAACACGTGAACTTGAGCCAGCATTGCAAGCCAACCAATTTATTTACGTTACATGTGGCGGGAAGTCGTCGTAAATCACGCGCAGGAGTACCGTCACATGCAGAAATATAGGGAGGATTCCGCGGTGGAAAGGGGTACACGGCTCCAAACGTTTGGCCGAAAAAACTAAGCCGTGAGGAAAGCACGCTGAAACTTCTTGCTTGAAAAACAACCACTAATTTTACGCGTTCTTTTATTATTTTCTCAACGAAACTTACTCATACGTACACCAATGCACTGGAAATGCGATAAGGGGAGGGAGATAAGGGAAATAAGAGTGACACGCTCCGCTAACAGTTTTCCCGCTTTTGTTTATTTTTATCAGATGTTTCGCAATCGCACGCCGCGTGTTAAAACGTCAGGCTGTCTTTGCCACCACGGTAGTGAGAAGTGAGAAGTGAGAAGGCTGAGGCTCGCCAGAGCTACGTTGTCATTAGAACATTGCCGAGTCAAAATGTAGCTCGGCTTATGTTGTGAAATATTTTGGCACGCTGCTTGTTAAAGTAGCAGCACTCACCACTTGTGACTTTGACAGTAAAATATTATTTGGCAGCGTCACTAGCGTACTTGGAGTACCTTTTCTTGGATGAGAATGCATTTGCCTTCATTCTTTGTACAACGTAATTGTTGCTATATAAAGCCGTCACGTTCACGAAACTATCCTCAACAAGTAGATATGAAAAATATATGATTTTATGGAACTGATGGGGTAAGTACGTAGTGCAACCAGTGTGTACTCATTTAAGGTCCGCCAGATCGAGACGTTCCGCGGAATTGCGTGCCTGTGACAAATGAATCCTGCACCAACTCACGCATCTTTAAAGTCGGAGAGACTTGTTCCAGCATGGATCTGTGCAGTACATATGTTTAAGTTCTGTAGCCGTCTGCTTCTACCATCTGGTATCTGGAGTTCGGACGGAACGGATGCATTTCCTTTTTACGTTGATGCTCAACTAAATTGCAAACAAACTTATGTTTTGTGTTAAGTGACTCGAAATGACTCCTCGCACCAGGCGCACGACAAATTGTACCATTGCGTAATATTCGGTACACGGCGTGTACGTGTACCGGATCTAGCTGACTTTTCGAAGCCATGGCGTGGCGCCTTCGCCGTTCAGGTGATGGACGGTAGTTTAACATCTTTTGAAATTCGGCCCATCGATATTCACAAAGGTCCGAGTAATTACCGTTATATTGCCTCGACCACAACGAAAAAGTTGCGTTTCCACGATCACGGGCTTCGAGTCTTGTCCAAACCAGCAACGCGGGTACACCTGCACTGGTTTGCCTGCCTAAATTTATTGGTTATACACGTAGCGCAGCTGGTAGTGAAATAGGCCAAGGACAAAAATGCTGAGCAATAAACTGACGAAACATAACAGTTACTTTTTAAACGATAGAGGTAATCGGGATATTATAAGTTAGATCTAAGCCTTTCGGATAATAAAAGGCGTAGTGTGAATACATCTATTGTGACATCTGGTGGCGGAAGGAATTTTAAAGCGGGTACGGACAAAAGAACCGACAACAAAAGCATAAGAGTAACAGTAATAAGCAAAGCAGGAAGCACAGATTGATGATATGTGCCTTTATGCATGCTTGTCTGCAGAAACACATGCCTGCTCGCCGCATGCACGTATGCACGTTCGCACGTACGCACGCATGCAAGTTCGCACGTACGCACGCATTCACGTTCGCACGTACGCACGCATGCACGTTCGCACGTACGCACGCATTCACGTTCGCACGTACGCACGCATGCACGTTCGCACGTACGCACGCATGCACGTTCGCACGTACGCACGCACTCACGTTCGCACGCACGCACGCATTCACGTTCGCACGTACGCACGCATGCACGTTCGCACGTACGCACGCATTCACATCCACCCGAGTGTGATGTGCAGAAATATACTTCGTCGCAGTACGTGAATTGCCAGAAGTGAAAATAGAGATGCATGCGGAAATGGGGCGACAAAAGGGAACCGCTTAGTCATTGCCGTTGCAGGAGTGTTGCCCACTGCAACGTGCAGACGCTACACGCGGCGCAAGTGTTCGGAACACCGGCTGGGATTGCGGAACGGCGACTGAATAGAGACCGTACGTGCCAGACACGCTGTTGTATTGTTTGCTTTGCGAAAAAGGAACTGGGATTACATACAGTGAGGTGTATGTAACACAATATTCGTGTTTTCAAAATCTTGCCATGGACCATCATTCTCGCAGCTTCATTTGCTATCCCGAAGAAAACAATCACAGGCAGTCACGCTGAAAAATAAAACGCTGTGACAAAGATAATTTTGTCTATGAACTTTCAGTTAGCGGCCACTGGCTTATTGGGCAATTTTACCCCCGGCCCATCATGCTGACACTGACTAGGATAGTAAAAAAGATTCTTGTCCATTGTGCTCGATATTGCGAGCATCTAACTCCATTTTCAGCAGATCAAAGGAAACCATGTTGAAATCATGCTCGTAACGGTGAATCGATGTCACGCCGATCGACAGTCGATACAAAACCTTTTACATAATCCTGGCATCCCTGGCTCCTTCTTATGAGTTCGCTGATAGGTCGAATTCCGTCGATGCGACCAAGCTCCTAAATTTAACAATCACAAGCTGTTATATCCACCGAGAAACCCTTTTTCGACTGGTAAGCCGACCCAAGTCGTTTCAAAAACCGGTCGCTGACGAAGGCGTTGACCGCAGAAAAAAAATTGCCAAAGGAAGTCAACGGCAGACCTTTCACGCAGTTTCTCCATTCCCCACTGCACGGTGAGCAGTTTTCTCAGCGCTTGCCTCGCTGGAGCGGATCTGGGTGGTGACGACTTGAGCTCTACCTCACGTTACAGCGCCCCGCCACCTCAAGAGGCACGTGGCGGCTGAGATGACCTTTGACACCAACCGCACGCGTGGGGCCCAGCATCATAAATTTTATGAGCATCCCGGGGGTGATAAGCAAATGGCAACACCTGCGTATCAGCTGGGCAAACTGGCGGAGAAGTGACGCAGCTGGGTTCACAATGTCGCCAGGTCAGCGTTTCGTAGTGACAACGGCTGTAACGCGGCAACTTCGGTTGGCAAATGTCAGGTCTAAGAGACATGTTTTGGGCTTGGGTTTGAAGTAAATGATCCAGCTGTGTGTGTGATGTTCTGAACTGACGTCACTAGGCGATAGCGCACAGAGAGATTAGCATCTATATTCCCTACCAACCCTTATTCGCCCCTACTCTGGATGCCACTATTCTGTAGTTCTTGAGCTTAAGGGAGGAATAAATGCAAGACATATTTCTTAGGAATGCATTGTTGGTGCCTAATGACAAAACAGACACTATAAGCGACGATGAGGCAAGAGAAACGACGAATGGTATCACGCTGGTCAGGCGTGCGGTAGGGGGTTGTATTTTGCAGTGGAACTAATTGCACTGCACGTATTTCAATTCTTGGTGACTTTCTCATTTCTTTTGTCGCATTTTTTTGCAATGAAGTGTTCTTGATGTCGCTGGCGGCCAGCTTAGCAAAATATTTTAAGAATTTTAAAAGTATTTTAGACAATTGATAATGCCTCCACTGATAACTGTCAGCTAAGTTCCCTTTCAAGGCTTTGCGTTTCCAAAGTCTCAAACGCTCAAACAAGATTAACCTACGTCAGCTAAGGTCATTACACTCAGTTACAAGGTGACATTTCACCTCGAA